ATATTTATAAATAAAACAAGGGCATTTTTCAATATGGGAGTAAAAGAGCAAAGAGATACCATCCTTTAGTTCTGACTCATTAAAGCTCTCCCTATCTCTGGTCCAATAGCATCTCATTACCACCAAGCAGTCAGCTCTTTTTTTATTATATAGTTGCAGAGCTGGATATCTGCTCAGACCATTGAATCACAATAAAGCAGTAGAAAGGCCATAACCAGATTTTCCCTTTCTTTTTTTTTTTTTGAGTTGGAGTCTCACTCTGTCGCCCAGACTGGAGTGCAGTGGCCGCTCCCGGCCACCGCAGCCTCGACCTGCTGGGCTCCGGCGATCCTTCCGCCTCAGCCTTCCAAGTAGCTGGAACGACAGGCGCGCGCTACCACACCCGGCTCATTTTTTGATTTATTGTAGAATTGAGGTCTCACCAAGTTGTCCTCTACTTCTTTTATGGATAAGGGTCTGCAGGAGAGGAATGTGAGATCTTGCTTCCATCTCCCCAAGGTTCCAGGTTTTCAGGCTGTAGCTAATAGCCTGACCATCAATTTTTGATGACTTGGGGTTTCTTTTTTTTTTTTTTTTTTTTTAAGTTGGAGTCTCACTCTGTCACCCAGACTGGAGTGCAGTGGCCGCTCCCGGTCACCGCAGCCTCGACCTGCTGGGCTCCGGTGATCCTTCCGCCTCAGCCTTCTGAGTAGCTGGAATTACAGGCATGTTCTACCACGCCCGGCTGATCTTTTGATTTATTGTAGAGATGAGGTCTCACTGCCCAGGCACGTCTTGGAGTTTCTTATTGTCAATATTCTGTTACTACTTTAACACAAAAAATGATTTTTTAATCAAGACAAATTTATAACTTTGATAGTTCACTTGGAAAAGTTAAGGACAAATACATAGGCTGTTATTCTTGTTCTGGGAGGGAAAGTTCTCTAATTATAACAAAACCTCTAAAAAGCGTTTAGGATAGGAAGGAATTGGTTTGGTGGAAGTGACATTTTATTGTGACACACTAGAAAATTATCTTTGTTTATATGATTATCGATTAGGATGATGCTCTGTATTCACTTAAATGCCAGTTGAAATCTCAGGCTTATTTTGTCTCGAACATGATTATGTGCTTCTTTTTCTAGCACATCACCATTAGTTACATATTAGGAAATCTCATAGGCTCTTGAGTTTTTGTTTTGTTCTGAGTATCTGTATTTGTCTTTCTTGATAGAGTTCTGTTTCTATAATCCATTTCCTTTAGAATCTGACATGAAGACTAAATCACATAACACATGTAATCATGTGGTTAAAAATAAATATTCATGCAGAAGTACTGAATTATTATAAATGATTTGGCTATAAATGCTATTGGTAAAAGTTTTTTAGTCCTTTTAGCTTCTAAAATTAAGACTTTAGAACTTAGCTATAGAGATGTTTCTGATTCCTCAGCTTGAAAAAATTATGAAAGGACAATTGGTAATGAGTGCACTGAAAACAATCATTGCAAACGCTGACATGCAAATGTCATACTAATACATACCTCCCTAGAGGAAGAAATCCATGTCCTTTTTAACTTAATACTTTCTAATAGAGTGAGCAGCCAGTCAATAGTATACAAACAATCGTTTCTTTGTGCACTATAGTAGGGCGTGTGCATTTTCCTTTCTAGTGTGAACAAGACAAGATTTTCACATAGTTTGCAAATAGATCTAAGTGATCTAAATCCTCAAATATAGTGGCCCAGTGGGCATCCGTGATTTTTGCTTTGACCTCAGTGGGGCACTTAAGTACTTTATACTTTTAGTTGCTCCCATGTTTACTTTTGTAATTATCTCAATACTTCAAAAAAAAGGTCCTTTATGCATAAATTCATATCACACAGAGTTGTTTTCTTTTTTTTACTAACATCTGTATGTTTTCTCATTACTGTTCATTGTTTTTGTGCTGTCACTAACCCCCAGGTATATCATAGGCCTGTATTTCTCTTTGGGTTTCTATGAAAGAGTATTTTTAAATTATTTCCTGGGACAAGAGCTTGTCAAGCTAAATTTATATCATATCCCACTTTTAATGAAGTCCATACCAGACCAAGTACTAGTAGCCTTGAGTATTTGAAGATATTTGAAAAGAATATATTTTTAAAAAGTACAGAACTGTGTGTCTTTTTATCAAGTTTAGAAACATCACAGTGGTTTTTATAGTCCAAATACAAAAATGACTGTATCTGAGTTTCAAGTGGCTTCCAATTTCAATGTAACTATTTCATTCTTCTTCCCAGAATTTTGAACCAAAACACATTAAACTGTAGTTTTAAAAGAAACTATTTTATATTAGCATCTTTCCCCTAGTCTTCTACTACTAACAATTCACTCTTGTGTCTCAACCTATGTATACTTTTCTTCATCCCACAAATGGCATGATAAATTATTCCATGTCAGAATGAATATACATACACACATATGTATTTACATCAATAACTCAGAACTACAGAAAATAGGAAATAGCATAGTCTTTAAGTATTGAAAAGTATTGTTTTGTTTCTAACATTGCTTGATTAACTTATTTCTCAGGTGGAAAAGCAGTATAATTTTAGTTTTCAACATTACATTCTGCCCTTCTCAGAGTCAGAATAGTAACTCTGGGCTTTAGTATCCTAATGAAGAGAGTATATAATGATAATAATGATAATAATACATAGCATAACATGGTATGCTATGGTAATGTCTAACATAGCATACATAGAATGTTCCAAGAGTAGTTTTAAGCAACTTACTTGATCAGTCTCCAGAACAAGTTTTTAAAGTAAGTAGTTATTATCCTCATTTTGTGGGTGAGGAAACAGGCATAGAAGTAGGGGCAGTGTATTTGTCTGTCATAGTCTGCTATTACAAAATACCATGCACTGGGTGGGTGGTTTATAAATGATAGAGATTTATTTCTCATAGTTCTGGAAGCTAAGAAGTCCAAGATCAAGATGCTGACAGATTTTGTGTCTGGTGAGGACTCACTTCCTTATTCACAGATGGTGCCGTCTCAATGTGTCCTCACATGGTGGAAGGGGCACACAACCCCCTTGGGCCTCTTTTATAAGAACATCAATCTTATTCGTGAAGGTTTTACCCTCAAGATCCAGTTACCTCCCAAAGGCCCCACTTCCTAGTTGCATCACATTGGGTGATTAGGTTTTCAACATATGAGCTTTGGGCAATACAACCGTTCAGACCATAACAGGCAGCCAGCGCACATTTTGTTTATAAATGAAGACTCTTGTTAACAGTTTTTGCTTTTATTATTTTTCCTACCACGATGTGACTAAAGGATAGCCTAATGGAAATATCTTCATTAAACTTTTGCATTTTCTGCTCCCACTCACTAAAAGCTAAGTTGTAGACCCCTATTCCCAATTAAGAAAAAAATAAGAGAACATGGTGCTTGGTTTTCATTGCTGCTACTTATGCCAACAAAGGAATCCTTGACAGTAATTATATAGTGAGTAAAGAAAGCTTTATTGTGGAATTATTAATCATTTCTAAAACATTCTGCTCCTTTCTCAAAATGTCACTGCTATGGCCTGAATGTTGGTGTCCCTCTCAAAAATTTATGTTGCATCCTAACCCCCAAGGTGATGGTTTTAGGAGGTGGACCTTTACAAAGAGTTTAGATCGTGAGGTTGGAGACTTCACGAATGGGATTAGTGCCCTTAAAAATAGGCCCCAGAGAGATTATTTACTCCTTTCTCTGAGGACACAAGGAGAATGTATTCTCTTTGAACCAGGAAGAAGGCCCTTATTAGACACCAAATCATAGGCATCTAACTCTTGCACTTCCCAGCCTACAGAATTGTGGGAAATCAATTTCTGTTGCTTATAAGCCACCCAGTCTATGATTTTTTTTTTGTCATACCAGTGCTAATGAATGGACTAAGACAATGACCATAAGTGATTGTTTCTCTCCCAACACCACTTACTCTTTTCTTTATCAAACTCTGAGCCACATTAGGTAGCAAATCAAGACTATTGCTATAATTGTGACTTATTACTAAACTATATTTTTTAAATCTTTAGATTTATCTTATCATTTTATCCTCTGGGAAGTAAATAGAATCCATTACATAATTGGGCTGCTTGATTTTTATACTAGAACATATAAAATGAAAGATAAAACAAAAACCACCAATCAACTATCTGTATTCCTAGAAAACATTTCAAATTTCTTCTCTCTCTAGAGTACTTGTAATTAACTGGACAGTATTGACTTTCAAGACTTCCAAAAAATGAATATATACTTTATATATTAGTACAATATACGGAATCAGAATGTATCAGATTTTTCTGGGGTTGGAGTTGGAGGAAGTCAAGTAGGAAAGATCATGAAGATATCAACAGTTTGAAATAGGGACCAAATAGACTTTTATTTTTAGATGTATAATGGACATCTTTTTCTCTGTATCATATCCTATATAACCATATAGGATAGGAGACAGACTCAATTTTGAGATTCCACCAATCACACCCTCAAAAAATGCATTTTGCTTGATTAAATCATACCTTCTACCTTACTAGTTATTTACAAATGCAACACTAATTTCAGCCATTAAACAAGAATGCATTCACATTTTTATCTTTAAGAGCAGCTTAGTAAGATTTGTTGCAGCAAGTTTATAACCAGTCAAGAACTGGGTGTTGCTTCATTGCCAAGCCTTGATGGAACTTTTATGAATATGTTTTATGATTTGCTAATCTGTGCTGTGAAATCATCAGTCTGTTTGCAGTGGGGAGAAAGAGGGTGGAGGGAGGGAAGATGGCTTTTTTGTTTAATGTGTCAGTGGAGGGAGGGAGTGGGGAAGGATATATGGTCATGAAGTTTGAACTAAGGTGTACTTAGATGTACTAAAGATTTAGTTTTGATCCTTGCACAAAAATTAACTGCAATAAATAGGTGCTGCTAGTAAGCAGGTTTTCTATGATCATGCCTAATTTCCTTTCTTTCTTTTTTCTTGTTTTATATTTTTTTCTCAGGGGAAATCTCTCACATCAAAGAGGTTAACAAGTCTTGTTCAGTCTTACTAAAGGATCATCTTGTAGCATGGAAGCTGACTGGAGTCATTACACATACTTGTAGCTCGTTGTTACCTGGAGCAGAGGATATTAGACCAAGATGTTGCATGAGCAAAGGACCTAAATTGTTATTTTTGTGTGTACATTCCATCTCCAAGGAACTCTACCATCTCAATGCCTCCATTTCAAATTGTTGTCTGCTTTCTTTCTCCTTCTACTAAGCTGGATCTGTGTCTTTTCCTTTTTAAAAAGTTCAAGTGATGTGAAACCTTTTTTTCCCTCTCTCTCTCTCTCTCTCTTTCTCTC